TAAATTTAAAAAATCAAAAAACCCGACTGCTTAATTATTCTTCAAATAAAAACTGAAAAGAAAAAAACAAGTCCAGTAGTCTTTAATTCTGTTAATAAGGAACAAAGCTACTTTAACAGTCGGGACCCATTAGATATTCAATAATACATAATATTTTTCAACAGTGGGACTACTGGACTTGTTTTTTTCTTTTCAGTTTTTATTTGAAGAATAATTAAGCAGTCGGGTTTCTTGATTTTTTAAATTTACCTTTTTTTATTTCACACTTTTTAGTTAGTATTTTAAGACGGTATATACCGTAGTCTTGTTACTTCAGTAAGGGAATTAATATCGCGGGAATTATTATGTACCTTGCGTCGGTCTAAAAGATTGATTTATTAAGACATATAAAGACTTTACCAGCGGGGTCAAGGCTACAGATGGGCCTCAATTTTCGCAAAAATGTGTGAAGTTAAATCAAGTCGTTACATAAATATCTCTAATGTAAGTATGTAAATTTTATAGTAAACTAGCACTTACTCAAAAAGTCATCTTTTGTTTATGTTTTTTTATTCGTCGACTATTTAAAATTGGCAGTGGCTGCATTGTCATGTCAATGCCGGACACCTACATAATTCACAGAAACCCAATATGTAGATGCCAGAAGTTAACTTCAAATGTTTTTAATCACCCTATATACAATACCAATCAATGACGTTTATGTCGCAGGTTGAAGAAAGAAGTAATTCCCGTCTGTTGTTTTGGACAATGGTGGCAACTGCCTTAGATCACTAAATTAAATAATTATGCAATCACCAAAGCAAAGTTTATAATATTTGATTAAACTAAAGGCGCATAATAAAATTTTCATAACGTTAGGTAGAGCACCATAGCAATCTCATTTATTATCAATTTATAGTTTTCTTTGTAGTTTTCTTTTAAAGCCTTCACATTTAACAGGTCAAAGACTTTGTGTTCGACCCTTTTTTATTGGTAGTGTAAAGCTCGAATGAAGAGTACTCCCAGTAGTGCAATCATGGCAATTATTTTCCAAAATTTTTTTTTGTTATAAAAATACCGAATAACGTATCACTGTTAAGCACAAATGCTAAGTTACTTTTACAAATATAATCAAATAAACCTATTACTTACTTTATTTTTAAATCTTTTTCATCAATGAAATACTTATCTTATCCTAACTATCTATACTAATATTATAAAGAGGCAAGATTTGTATGTTTGTAACAAATAATCTGTCATACTACTGAACCGGTTTCAAATATTAATTCATCATAAGGTAGCTACATTATTTATTATAACATTTTTCTTTATTTAAATACATTTTGTCCCAGTGACATAGGCTATATTTTATCCCGATAAATAAATTTCGCCCGGACAATGCCCGGGTGGATCACTAGTAAGTATAATATAATATTATAGATGCGAAAGTGAGTTTGTTTGTTGCGCTTCCGTGCCCTAATAGCTAAATCGAATATACTGAATTCCCATATAGAAGTAGATGGGAACTTGGTTCTTAGCTACAACATCGCAATACTTATAGGCGTAGGGTGATGAAAGGGGTGATTTACCTATAAAAATCTACATTATTTACTTTGAATTTTGCAGAATTATTACAAAACCAATATTATCGCGAGCTGATTAATAAATACAGGGATTCCAATAAGTTTGTACTTACTAGCGAAAAATGGGTTATTTGTCATTATATTAAGTAAACCTTTTTTGTAACCTTAAGTAATATCGTTAAATAAAATGAAAAACAGTAAAATTCTGAGTTTTTCATTAAAATTTAATGATCATAAATACCTATTATGATAATATATTTTTCATCATTTAATAAGAAGGAACTGTAGCACAGTTTTAATGTTAGTACTTCGTATAGGATCAGATACTGCGAATACCCCATTTTTTTTTCTTTTACATAGTACACCGCGCTATCACTTTGTCATCGTTGTAACTTTTTAAATATTTGTCGAAATGACATAGTGTAAAAAGCAAAGTTTATGGTCTTTAAATATCAAAAGCGATTAAATTATTTGTTTTGATAAAAAATGATTTATGATTTTATTTATTTTTTAAGCTACTACTGCTAGATGTTTAAATCTAAAGAAAAGTTTACTAGAAAAAAATGATTTGTTAATATAAAATGTGCATTTTGGAAATAGATATCAAATAATATTTTAGTTTTGATTCACTATTTTAGCGGTAATGACTTACACATTAAAAATAGATATATGGTGTCACGGACTTTTTTTTAGAACTATTTAAGAGATACATTTTCACTCTACATTGCATTCATGTAACTTTTATTGTGTTTGCAGTGCAGGCCAAAATGGCTCGCAGATGGGAGATTTTTTTCCCTCTTATGTGACACTTATTGTTATATTTTGGCCAATTCACTCAATAACTACATAAATTATTATTTATATGTTATTATCATATATGAGCTATATTACTGTTAAGTTTCATGAAAATCCATTCAGTATTTTTTAGATGAAAGAGTAACAAAGATCCATACAAACGTAAGATTGAAATTAAAAGCGCAAGTGGTTAATATACAACTTTAAAGCGTTGTAATTCCTAAACAATCATATAAAATGAAAAATGGTGTTAGGAACCTAAATATGATTTTTGATTATCTAGACAGTGATACCCCACTCGACATATTTTGTCAACTTTTTTTTTTACTTCGTCACAATATGGCGCCTAATTTTGCCCATATTGAATTTTGATTACTATCATATACTATCTTTAGTAGCACTCCCATGATTGAGACGAATCGATTGATGTATGAATCATCAAAATCGGTCCAGGCGTTTGGTCTCTAGTGTGCCAAAAAGGAACAAACATACATATATAGACTGTTAAACACATAACCCTGTTTGCGCGTCGCGCTTCGCGCTCTTGCATTGCGCAGCCGGGTAAAAAGAGGCAATTACTGGGGATATTTTGATTATATTGGTATCTTATCTGATGATTTCGAAACCTAAGTTAAGGTAGTATTCATATTTCAAATAGTATCCTAAAATACAAAATTTTAATGCCCCATTGCATATTATCAAATCCCTATTTATCAAATTAATCATGTACTATATTTAAACCCAGTTAGTACTAACAGCCGTCGAAACTAAACTAATATTAAAAATTATTACATTTACATCTATAACTTGCGATGGTACTGTTATGATTAAAAAAACTATTAGGATGTAATTTATTTCACATCACCAGACATAAAAACTCCTGTAAAATTTCGCTCTCTCCGCAAATATTCAAGTCAAAATAGGTACTTTCGACGATGTTCAGGAGACTGCATGTTAATATTCCTTATCATCCTGTTTCTGTACCCTTTTCTTATTCTGTGAAACCCATAGCGATAGCAAAGTATCCAGAGAAATCTACGTTGGGCTCATTCACATGAACCTTGCAAAAAGGTGTCCAAATGACAGTATTAAATTGGAGATAACTTCTTACAAGAGTTTTAACTCTTAAGCCAAGTACAAAGCAAAATAAAATCGAATGATCAGAATTTTATTTGTTAAACGTAGGTTTGTGCTATTTTTACTTTGCTATTTTTACATATCTTTATATATGTACATATATAAAACTCAAAGGTGACTGACTGACATAGTGATCTATCAACACACAGCCCAAACCACTGGACGGATCGGGCTGAAATTTGGCATGCAGATAGATATGATTTTTTTTTTCTAGTAAACTTTTCTTTAGATTTAAACATCTAGCAGTTAAATGCTTAAAAAAATAAATAAAATCATAACTATAATTGCTATTTCTTCTTTCAAATATTTAATACTTGAAAAAGTATTCATTTGACATTGTGGGTTGCCTACAATGCGAAGAGATGGCGCTGCCTTGCAGCTTAAGGCTAGGAAAATTTCGACGCGGCTAATAGGGCTGTGGTAGCATAATGGTCAGTGCATTCGCCCGGATAGCGAAGGATGCGGGTTCGAGTCCCGTCCGCTGCCTGGTCCGCGTGGATTTTTTTCTAGTAAACTTTTCTTTAGATTTAAACATCTAGCAGTTAAATGCTTAAAAAAATAAATAAAATCATAACTATAATTGCTATTTCTTCTTTCAAATATTTAATACTTGAAAAAGTATTCATTTGACATTGTGGGTTGCCTACAATGCGAAGAGATGGCGCTGCCTTGCAGCTTAAGGCTAGGAAGATTTCGACGCGGCTAATAGGGCTGTGGTAGCATAATGGTCAGTGCATTCGCCCGGATAGCGAAGGATGCATGCAGATAGATGTTATGACGTGGATGCCTACGTAGATGCTAAGAAAGGATTTTGATCAATTTTACCCCCAAGGAGATAAAATAGGGAATGAAAGTTTGTATGAAACTTTGTCAATTTTAAACCGATCGGGCTGAAACTTTGCATGCAGGTATATAAAGAATAATAGATGAATGTCATTGTGTATAATACAAGCCTGAGAACAAAAACTGTAGTCTACACTTCAGCTCTACACCGAAGCGAAGCGAGGGCGGGCCACTAGTTTCTTTTATAATTGCTATTTCTTCTTTTAAATGTTTAATACTTGTAAAGGTATTCGTTTGACATTGTAGGTTACCCATAATGCGAAGAGATGGCGCTGCTTTGCAGCCTAAGGAATACTAAAAAGTATTCGACACGGCCTTTAGAGAGCGGTAGCATAATAACCAGTGCATCCGCCTGGCTAGCGAAGGGTACGGGTTCGAGTGCCGTCTGCTGCCTGGTCCTGTTGGATTCTTTTCAATTAAAATTTTCTTTACACGCAAGCACCTGTCAAATGCTTAAAAAATTAAAATTACCTCCCACTTGCATGAATAAGGTCAGCGACAGATACTGTTTTTTTGCCTTTCGACTCATCCGTAGAACAGAGTCCGATATGCAGAATTGATAGTTTTCAGTAGAGGAGTTAGAAGTTCTTGACTTGTGTAACTCTTAAACGGCAAGAATTGACATTTCGATTTTTTGGCATGTTGTTATTATATCACAGCGTAGGTAAATGCTCTATATTGTATATTTCTAAATAATTTACTTTACGATATAGTGAGTTCCATAATATCAACATAGGACGTTTTATAGCGTAAGAGCGGAGGTCCGTAGAAAACATTGAACGTTGTTTTACGGAAGAAGTGACGTGCTACATTAACATGAGTCGTTTTTTGTTGGAATTACCTATATTCAAAGGGTCTTATGTGTATGAGAAACTTAAGCATGTAAGCATAATATTAGTTTTACCTATCTCCCCATATTGCAAAATGAAAAAGTGAATTGTTATCTCAAATCGTTTATTAAAAATAAAAATCTCAATAGAACATTGGATGGAGTCATCTATAATAATAGCAACCATAAATCACAGCATTAATTAGCGTAGTCTGACCATCTATGTACCTATTAGAACAATGCACCAATGCACGAAGGTGCATATAGAATTATAATATATGCACTAATTACAAAATCAAAAATAACATTTTTCTTCTTAATAATTTTACTAATCAAATGAACGTTGAGGTTGTACATACTTAACAAAAATTAAATTGTACTTATACCTAGAACAAAACTAATAAGTAATTAAATGGCAAATCGTATCACAGTAGGTATGATCTTAAACTTATAGATGTGTTTTAATACTTATTGCAATAGTGGAAAAGTTTTGTATGAGTACATTTGGACATAACACTAGGTACTTATTTCAAAATATACGATAAAACATACAGTCTTCATAATATGATCAATCAGTCTTACATCGCGGTTTAGCAGTGTGTGCACATAGGTAATAATTAAATCAATTAGGGGAACTTATAATTATTATGTGTTTTTCTAAATCAGCGGGCATTCAAGAAGCAATAAGCATTCAAGTCTAAAAAGAATAAACAAAAAGTAAAGAGCATAAGCAAGATGAGAATATCTTATTCTGACCGGTCATCATCTGATTCCTCAGAAACATCAACAGTGATATGATGTGGCAAAGAGTTAAAGTATTGATGATATTCTAATGGAATAACTCCTGAACTGCACATATCCATTAGATCCTTATATTTAGCAGCGGGAATCTTTATTGGTTCAGAATAGGCAGGTTTTAGTTCGGTTTGTGCCTCTAAAATATGATAATCAGGTTGAATCAGGTCGTATTTAAAAAACGATTTGTTGGCATCAATCCCATCTGCGTGAACTTCTCTTATGCTACTCCAGTAACGGCAAGAGTGTTGAGGAACATTATTTGGCATATTTCAATTTTCTCGCAGTGAGATTCGCTGGTGCCTGTAATGAGAGGGAGATGGGAGATAGTACTTAAAAGTAAACTTTCTATTATTAGGAATATCTTGATTGAGGCTTCTTTTCTTCTTCATTTTATCGGAATATTTTATTATGAAATTCCATTGCTAGCTCGATCTCCCAGTTGCAAAAATTTTGTGAAGCAGTCCAATCTCTGTTGGTGAGATACTTTACCAGAACATTTGTAGCGGCACTTGCATGGCGGCCCCGTAGTTTTTTCATCCACGGCTTTTCCCTTCTTCCTTACATATTTTTTACATAAGTTTTAAGGCATTTTCATTTAACATCTATTCATTCTTTTGGACGCCGCTGTCTTTTTCTGGTCACTTTAGGAGTCACTGTGTGGTTATTAAAGCATGAAGTAGCCGGCGAATTTGTAAGTGATGATGAAATAACAGAGGAGTCTACATGATTAGGGCAGAATACGCTATCGCAAGTTGAATGAAGGTTAGTAGGAGACGGCATAGGAGTTGGTACTGACAGTTCCAAATTAACCGGGGTAGATCTGTGGTGAGAAACCTCTAACTCTTCAAGCTGTATTAATGGTGAATTTTCGAAACTAGACGGCACTTCCAAAGAAAATGTACTAGGTTGATTGCTGTAAATATCGTTAACAGACTGAACAGACATGACATTCCGTATTGAGCTGTCGCAGATGATTTTCTTGCTCCCACCATCTTCCTGCAAAACTTCCTCCCATATATCAGCTAATTCTTGACTAATTTCTTCTGCACCAGGGGGTAAAGATGACAACATGCCGTTTTCTACAAAATTCACAACTGAAATAAAAAATAACTGTATTAGATATTAAATGTAATACTTTTTAAATGTATATTGCAATAATATGTACCTAGTAAGTAATTAAGCTAATTAAAAACAATATATCTTTATATTTAACGAAATTTTCAAATGAACAACGTCCTAACTAATCTCATTATCCCATTTACAACGTCCTATCTTAACATCAAACCATCAAATTGTATAGAAAAACGTCCTATAGTAACATAAGACGCTTAGAAGTTCAATAATGTTCGTGTGAAATCGTCTTAACTTTTCATAAGACGTCTATTTTGCGTCTACTATTTAATGCATACTATAACAGAAAAAATGATTATCCTGTGCATACTCATTACGCAAATCGTATTTTTGCGTGCCTAAAATGGGTTCTACAAATCGTCGTCAAAAAATGTCCTATATAAATATAAATCGTCCACAACTGTTAACTAAGATAAAAAGCAATTATAGACAAAATGTAGGTTTATTTAGAAATTAAATAGTGTTAATCACGAAGTAATATCACTATAAATCGTATACTTACCAGTATCTACATTTTTATTTAAATATTCGGCCATGGACTTATAAAAAAAGGCGGACAGAGTCCCGGTAAAAAATAAACTGTGTCGCTCAGAGTCGGCCAGGTCGCTGTACGTACAAGCCGGCACGCACACATTCACACAATAGTCAGCCACTACGCGTGCAAACGTCAAAGCAGCTGACACGTTACGTGGAGATAAAAAATAAGCTAAACAAGATATCTTGCTTGTAAAAAGGTGTAAAAACCGTAGTGACCGAAAGAAAAAAAATCCAGGAATCACGTTTCATAGGTAAATGAATAATTGAATCACTTTTTTCTAATTTTTAGAAATCGAAATCAATTTTAATTCTAAGGACAAAATGATTAGTCTAAAGCCCAGTGTTGCCAATGTTCATGTAACCATATTACCTAAAATATGGGAAATTCGATTGACATTAACTTCAATCTATTATTTATTGTCAGATTTCCTAAAGAAAATTTAGTATGGAGAAATTACTGGAAAATGAATGATTTCCAAACAAATATGTAGTAGTGTCATTTTTAGTCTTCATTTTGAAGCTCAAGACTTACATACAACTAAAGGAGGACTCCGGCGTGTTATTACGTATGCATTACCTCAAAAGGTTGATTAAAATTTTTAACCGACTTCGAAAAGGAAGAGCTTCGCAATGCGTCATATTTGTTTTTTTTTTATTGTTGTTCGCGCAGATCTCCGAGATTCGTGGACCGTTTATGATGATTCTTTTTTTGTTTTAATCAGTTTACTAGCGAGATGGCTGCATATTAATTTACTGGAGATCTGATGAGTACTTTCGGAGGAAAACAATGGAACTCCTCAATTACAAACAGTACTCAATGGGTGTTAGTTTATTTTAAGAAATATGAAAGAGAATGCAGGCCAGGCCATCTATATTTAGTTGATTTACCCAATATTGAGAAAATTGGATACATTCTAGAATTTCTAATGAGTCCCGACTGTTAAAGTAACTTTGTTCCTTATTAAACAGAATTCTAGACTACTGGACTTGTTTTTTTTCTTTTTAGTACATTTTTTTTATTTTCTACATTTTAATTTCATTATTTTTTAATTACACGAGTTGTATATTTTCTAAATATTCTTTAAAAACCCTTCACTTTGATACCTCGCTTGACGGGTTATAAAAATACTTATACTTTTATTTCAAAATGGTTCATTTTGGCGCATAAAATCTGTTATTTTGATTTTTTGAAATTTTAATATACCGAGTGCCACTCACACAATCACGACAAATCGAATGACACCTCGCATGTCAAAATCCGTCAAGACGTTCAGGCTGTAGGGCGTGCCAAATTATTGGACATACATACATGCATACATACGCTCGAAAAACATTATCCTCCGCAGTCGGGCAAAAAGTAAAATTTTGAACAATCAAAATATTTTCATGTTTTTACTGTGTTTTATTGGTAAAAAATTGGCTAACCTAGCAACCCTACAATTCACTCACTCATCAATAGCCGCCGCCATTACGGTGCCTCAGTCTTGTCTTAGGCGAAACTCTGTCCGCCTTTTTTTATACGTCCATGTATTCGGCATGAACATTTGAAAATGAATAACTAAGTTCGGGCTCTTCTGCACCTTCATTAAGCATTCTCAATATTTTCAGTGATCGCGACATCTCTAAAATTATGCTTTTTTTATTTTATTTTGCTTTCACATACAAAACACTTAATAAATTGATTTAATATTAAAAATCAAAAGAAGCTTAGCACGTGTCACAAAAACGCCCACTCTCCATTAAATAGTGGTCGAACTGACTTACGGACCGGACACTCGCGATGCCCCCGCGCCGCGCGCACAGTTGCATGTACACTCCGTGCGTTGTAACGCGGACGAAATATCATATGGAACGTTATTCGATTCTATATTTCGAAAAGTTAATAAGATAAGAAAATTCTAAAAACATACGTCGATAGATATTGTATTTCTAATCTCATTTAGCTATTAAAACAGGAGTTGCTCTATAATCACATCGGACTCTGTTCTACGCATGAGTCGCTTTAGTTTGAGCATCATCCACGGCCAAATATTATCTCAATTTGATCAGTATCATGTACGGTGAGAGTCAATCCAACCCTTGATGGGTTGACTCTCACCGTACGTATATTCGTTTCGCTTTCGAAGACGTACAAAATCGACTTTGCTATTTAGGATATTATTATCCTCATACTGAATCCAGAAATCATTTTTTGATTTTATGGATGATAGTGTCGGTACTAGTTAGGCCAAATGATTTGGATTTTGTGTTCATGAAAAAAAGAACTCTTGACTCTGATGTTGACGTAATAGTTATTATATCGACGTAATTGGGACTGTGTTTAATACATACTATCGATTCTCCGTATTCAATGAATGAAGCCTGTTAATATACCGACGGCCATAGTAAATCGCTGACCTTTTGCCATTGCTCTACTGGTAGGCATCTTAATCTATAATGGACATTGCTCGTTCCCCATACATTGAATGCCCTAGAACGCCCAGCAATGAGAAAATGCTAGTTGTGTTCGGAATCATTCATAAACTCTAAATAAGCATTTGTTGAGATACGGACAACTTGAGGAACCGTGGCCTACTACAGAATGTATTAGATTTTGAGGTTATAATTATTATACTTAATCATAAAAGATGTACACTTTATATATTCTGAATAGATTTAGTGTTTAACTCTATGTAAGCACTTAAATAATATGCATTAAATGAACATAAAATGCAATTAATAATAAAAATAATAAATGCTTATATTCATATTGATTTATGAGTGTTTTCAGTTGGCACCTATGATACCTATACCTACCTGTAGTAAGTAATGATAGATTTCTTATCAAATGAAATGTTCAGTCTTTCCATTTACCTGTTCCTATAGTTTACTATCGGTAATTAGGTATGTATCTGGTTATCATTATGATTTTCATAAAAATAAACAGATATTACATGGGATGGGAGTATAAACTATCTTTAGATAATTTCAGAAATAATCTTTTCATAAATATAATATAAATACTAGTAATAAGTATTATTAACTAAGGTACCTTGTTCTATTTTTATGTTGATAAATACCTATGGTCGCCTATATTGCATTACTAAGGTAAACAATCTTGGCACAACTTTTTAACAGAATCACCCATTTAATAATAAAATATTAACGAAGCCAATAAACTATTGAAATAAATCGTTATTATAGACTGAAACCTATTGAATCCAGTTATCAGTTGATTTTTATTGCTGTATTTTCAATAAAAAGGAGTGTCAAGTTGGATGAACAGACTGTAGTATCTAGTAACAGAACTTTTATTTTTTAAACAGATTGTCCGTTTACTATGATTAATTGCTAATAAGTTAAAAAAATAATAGAAAAATAATAGTGAAGGACATTCTTTTGGGCATGCTAGGGCCGATTTCGTCGATGTCCTTTGTATACTAGTTGTTTAACTTTTGATATCTGGAAAACTGGAGGGATCTGATAGATATTTCGTTTGCTTTATGAAATTTCACAATAATTCTATACTTTCGTTTAGGGTTCTCTACCAAAATGGTGAGAACGGTAAGATAAGCAAAATGGTAAGAACCGCAGAACACAGAAAGAACGGTAACTAAGTAAAGTAAGCCTCTGTCCGATGGTCTGCAATCACAAAATTAATTAGGTATATTTGGCATCGACCAAAAAGGAGATTGCTCAGCTTCCATACATGTTTGGCCTAAAGACCAATAATCATGAAAAATTGTTTCCTACATTCGAAATTATATATAAATAACTGTAGAAACGAATATTATTGACGGACACCCCTGAGAACTTCTATAAATCATATACACTGAACATATTAAAATAATAAAAAACAAATAAGTTATATAGCAAACTAGGGAAATCAAGCCAAGTACCGAAATTATGAATTAGATTCAGGTATATAGAGCATGTAGATTAACAGATAGTTGCCTGTTTTTAAAGTTAATGCATAAGAGTAACTTTTAAAATCAGGTGTCATTCCGGTTATAATATGATACTCTGTGACAGAAACTGTGTGATGATTGTGAATGAGCCACAGATTAGAGAGAATTTTTAAACTCTAGTTAACCAAAGAAAGCTAAGATATTTAGGTTCTATAGCCGTATATTCAGTAGCTTCATTATTTTTGTTATGTTTTTAAGATAACCATATTTTAGATTTTTAGTGTATCACACCTTACAATTTTATTTATTTATTAATTTATAGTCAGGCAACGTAGGCCCATAGGTAGATAGATACCTTAAAGTCTAACATTTAAACGGATTATAATGTGTTTATGGAGGAGTTTGGCGAAAAATGTATGGCAATAGAGTTTATGATGTCGCCTACCATCTATAATAATTGTCTGAGCACATTTGCATCTAGTGAAACTGATAATATAGTGGTGGATATTAATACCACAGTGTAATAAAAAAAATGATTTATTTTATCGATCTTTACAAAATAGATTTGTTTTTATGTTATATAAACAACTTCTATCAGTCTTTGGCTGAATGTTACTATACCCATAGCCATTAAAAATGATTAGTATGTTTTCAAAACCGGTAATATTAAAAGTCCTTTTTAAAGTAAATATATTATTAAAGGTGTCCGTTGAAATCTAATGACTGTAAATTAAATTATAAATTACGCCAAGAGTTACCGTGTAAGTATGTCAATATTTTTTGTGCATTTAGGCCAATTTGAGCAATCTCCTTTGATAACATTTTCTTATATGACCTCTAGAATCACTACAAGGGAAGAAATAAACCTAGCTTCTGAAATAGATTTAGCAGCAGTTTTATTTCATAACTGAAAGTGAATAATCATAATCATAATCAAAATCATTTATTCAGTTTAGGCAACAGCCTAGAGCCATGAGTGCTTGTAACAACAAGCACTCATGAATGTCTAGAAGCTACGCCATCGGTTCGTAAATCTACGGCGGGAGACCTTGTACTGAGAAGAACCCTCAGCAAGGGCTGTTTTTTTCTCCCTGTTTTATTATTTACAGAGTCGTCAAATTGAAAAATGACTTCAGAGATGATTCATGAAGTCACTTTTCATTACATAATTATTAAATATACATTAATTGTTTACCTGCATTTTGATTGCTGTGTCATACAGTATAAATACAAAGTGTTATTTATATTAAGTGTGACTAAACATTAACTTCAATATTAAGGAAGTTAGGGCAGACTCATCTCCGCTGTGTAGGCGACACGAGAGGTCTCCATTTGTACTCCAGTCATGGATGTTTAATATGTATTTCTACATAAATATACTTATATATGTATCAGTATATGTATTCTATCCGTTACCCTAATATCCTATAACACAAGATTTACAGTGCTTACTTTAGGCCAAAAAAGACCATTTGTATGAAGGTTGTTGTGTAGCGGGTAACTAAGTTAAATGGGAATAATGAAGGAAATCAACACGCAGCCGTAAATAAAATATAAGTAATCCTTGTTCACAATAGTTCGTAAGCAGTAGTAGACAAGACAACAAACGATCTATCAAGAATAATAATGGTGTCAAAGAGTGACATAGAAAAGTAAAGCAAGTACAATATATATTATAAAAGGAGGTTTGTAGCCGCAGCCAGTCGCCAACAAACAACATATTATACTAACAAATACTTAAACATTTTTTTTAGTACTTCTTAAGAAAAATAACTTAAAAGTTAATAATAATTAAAGTCTGAAGAGAAATATACCATTTTATAGGTACAGTAAAACCCACTTTTTAAATAAAAGCGCGTTACACCCTTTTTATTTCTCATGTCGACACTTACTTATCACGCTTTTATTAAAAAACATGGGATATAATGTACCTACAAAAAATATACTATAACAATGAACCTAAAACTAAAAACCTTAAAAAATAAAATATAATAACTAAAATACATTATTAAAAGGAGTCCCTTTAGGCAATGTTCCGAAGATACTGGCAGCGTTCCCCCTTTGGATAGCTAGACTAATTCTTTGTCCGAGGTAGCTGCCAGCTCTTCGGTCTCCTGTGATGTCGACTAATCTTTTTGCAATTTCTTTAAAAAGGCTTATAGCGCTAGGAGCCCACGGACCAAGGGTCTCGACACCGAATGGGACAAAATCATATTCGGAGCCTAGACCCCTGTATTTGCCTGCCTTAGCTTTTTCAGCCGCTTCACAAGCCGCACCAGCTCTGTTGTTGGTTCCATGTAGATGGGAAGGGGCCAGCGTGTCTGAACAGGTTGCATCCCATACTAGCACCCGACCCATCTTCCATGGAATCAAACTCATACCGTCCGGTCTCTTGCCATCGTCTCTTGCAATACCAGTTGGCTCAAGTAGACTTGGCACGTTGACGGAGGCAAGGGACCGGCGTATGATATCGTTAAGTGCGGCGTGTCTCGAGAAGCGGCTTGCACTTTTTTGGCAAGACAGTCCATGATGTCCTAGCTTGTCGACATCACTGCCACAGGGACATTTATGAGGAGCGCAGACCGGGACCCCAAGCCGTAGACAGGTTGCCATTCGGAGTGTGTCAGGCTCAAGAAATGTGCCTGTATTTGTCGAAGGGTACGCTCGAAGCCAGTAGCCGGCCTCATGAGTACCCACGGCCAAAAGCCTAGCACGCGCCGAACCTGTACTGCAGCTCAAAAGGTTATTATAAGTTAATTTACAAATTATGTCGTCCCATCTGTGAATTTGGAGAAACTGGAAAATTTTGACCTGGGCATGCAATTAAGAAAGCGTTTCTAGCTTCTTCCAAGCCAGCAATCTCAAAGTTTGAAGGGGATGCCCTTAAAATTTTACTTATGAGATTTGCTGAACTATGGACAGAAGATAGGAAGGCTGGTAAAGCGACACTGGAAATTTTGCGAATCCCTAAACCACCATAACGGATGGGTAGGGATGCTTGGGTCCAAGATTGCTCGTTTAGCTGCATATTAAGAATCGATTCTAAGTTAATTTTGATTAAGTCGTCTAATTGTGACAAAAGATCTAAGTGATTCCAAAAGGAGCAGCAACGGAGCACATACGTAAATTTTGGGACAAAAAGACAGAATTTTAAGATGCAAAGTGCATAATGTGGACTAATTTCAAGGAGACGGTCGGCAGAATTTTGAAATTTATTAATTGAATTATTAATATATTCAGAAATAGATTCATCAAAAATTGGAGAACCTAAAAGGTAAAGGGAATTTCTGTTAACTATTTTAATATTTGGAGCTAAAATATTAAATTTTTGTTTAACGTCATTTAAATTTAAGTCGTTGTTATTTATAAAAAGTTCGCATTTGCTAAAATTAAGCTCCAAACCGATGGCTTCAAATTTATTTTTGATTGAAAAAAGGTCCGAAAAAACAGTATCCACATCACCTCCTAGGGTTCCGTCGTCCAAATACCAAACATTGAATTTAGAATTTAAATTTTTGATTATCGGATTTATAGCCAAACTAAAAATTGCAGGCCCAAGGGGATCACCCTGTTGACAACCTACTTCCGAGGACAGTTCATTAGAACGATATAACAATTTTTTTGTTGGGTCGGCGTAACTGAGAAGAAGATAATTGTATATTTCCGGTATATGTTGTTTTATTTCTGTCAGCAGGGTATCCCTATTTACCGAATTGAATGCATTTTTGACATCAATTTTGAGCAACACGTCAGGCTGCCCGTAAGTTAGGAAGGAGCGTAGGGCATGGACGGCTGCCTCACACCCTCCTTTGACACCAAAGCCTAACTGTACGGGATCAAATTCCGAATTTAGTTTTGGTAAAATATGTCGAACAGCAATTTTGGAGGCCAGACGTCGTAGTGTTGATCCAACAGCAATTGGTCTCACCCCTCCGTCCTTTTTGGTCAGGGCAATGAGGTTCGCGCCGAAAAGAATAGGAACAATTTCTGGATTGACACTACCGGAATACATAAAGTTGATTAATTTAGTGATCGAATTTACAAGTTGCTCGCCTGCATTACCCACAGAATGCGATGTTAAATCTTTCAAATGTTGGGGTGAGATTCCATCCAAACCTGCAGCCGAACCTGGTTTAAAAGATAAAATGGCATCCATAACATCTTTGTTTTGAATTTGAAGGCATGCTTGCCCTGCTGTTGGTGGGTCGAGAAAATATGAGTTTGCTGGAGCTGGGGGATGTTTTGTCCGTAAGGCCTGAAGGGTGTCAGGGGTATCTGGTGATAGCACGTCATTGGAGAACAAAAGGCGAACGGCACCTTTGAGATCTCCATCACAGATTTTGTTTTTTTGTTTTTTTATGTACCTACATATATAATTAATATATAAAATTTTATATTTTATATCAGACTTTAATTATTTTTAAGTTTTTAGTTAATTTAGTTAAGAAGTATTAAAAAAAAATGTTTACCAATTACTTAGGTACCAAATAATAAAAGCTTGTTTAAAAAAAACTAATATTTTTTTATTTTTCTGTAGTATTTATGATTCGGAACCTTAGTTCTCGTTAAGACTAATCAAGCGAGCCCAAACTTGATGCGGTTACGTCGTTTTACATAGTTCGAAAACTTCTAGCTCCATCATCAGACCCTGGATACGACCTAGAGACAAAGTGCTTGTCAAGACGAATCAAACGAGCCCAAACTTGATGGGGTTGCGTCGTTTCATTACAGAGTTCCTATGGTCACCTTTCAGCTCTAATCAGATAGCTGATCTGTGTGTGGTGACAATGCAATAATTCATTTTGCATTGTCACCAGACTTATTTATTTAGTTTTTTAGACACACACACACACACACACACACACACACACACACACACACACAATAAAACGATAAGAAGAACGGGAACTAGAAATTTGTACTAGGGCACTGCTCATTTCATGTTGAAATTTCTTCCAGCAGGCCCGCGAAAGGAAGGAGCATAAATAAGGCAGTCAGCGTGTGCCTCCTGAATATAAATAACAAAATACAATACCTATAATATAATAACTTATACAAAACCTACATATATATGTTCATACATGTACAAATAAACATATATACTTAAATAAAATATATGTGTTATAAAGGAAAAGCAATATAGTTCAGAAACAGTGATTCAAGAGGATAGATGGTGTTCCTTCAACTGTTCGTTTTTTAAATGTTGCAACAGTTGGGCTGTCTCTGATTCCTGCTGGCTTACTTACTATATAAGTACTATACAAGTATGCCGAATTTCAGCTAAATCAGATAACAAGAAGTGGTGGAATAATGGTTTACAAATTGTGAAGCTTTGAAGAATCACGAACAGTGTAAGTTAAATAAAAGCTTGTAAAATAAAACATCAAAGTAGGTTTTCACAGTCAATTTATTTTAATAAATAACTTAAAATTAATATAATAATATCCAATATTATGTGGACCGCCCGCCTATTGAAATCTATATGTATTAATCTATATGTATGTTTAAAATTAAACAATTTTGAGCTTAGATCCTCATACTATCATAAACCATATTATCACTAGTAACAAACTTTATAAAGCGCTTTTCAGGAAAGAAGCTCCTTAGGGTAGGCGGTATTGGAAAGATCAAAAATTTTAAAAAATAATTTCCCCGGGCAGCTCTTTTAATAACTTTAGGCACTATATATAATAATTTAATTACATAAAACCAGTAAAAAACCAGTAAAGTATCAAAAAGAATTATAGTTTTACTTACGGCCTTCACTTTTAATACGTAAAGTACCTATTTGGAATAACACGAACGGCAAAAACCGTTAAATAAAATAGTTTTACTTACAGTTTTATCACTTAATAATAATAAAACCTTTAAAATCTTACAACGATCGCTCAGATTGAGCACGTGTTGCTTCGACGGGAGTCAGAACGCCATTAGGTCAGTGTCGTGACTTAAGCTTGCCACCTGATAAAAAATTATAGATAAATAAAAAAAGGAACGGTAAATATTTTGTATGCCAAAATGACGATTCTGACTGTAAACTTTCTGCAATATGTTGGTTCTGCTTTTTAATTACTGTCAATATTATATTTATGCCTAAAAATGATTCTGGTTTTCAAAATTATGAGTTTTCAATGTCTAGTAAATGAGTGAATGCCATTTGACGTTCTGTGAATTGAGGATGAGCATATGCATAATAATAATATTATGACATAAAAAGTTCAGCGATAAAAGGTAGACCCCTGCCTGAGATTCGTGATTCGTGTTTTAAAGGAAGCTTATTTGGAAATGAAATCCATTAGAAACTACAACCAACGACCGTTGACTAAAACCTTATAAATATATTATATATGTATAATACCTTGCTAAATAAATAAGTGTTTCAATCATTTATTTCGTTTTTCTATGGAAACCATATGGCCAGGTACGGGAAATAATAAGATTTCGATTTTCAGACGGTTTATCGCCTTTGATCTTATTTTATAAGCTCGAAGAATCGTGGCGAGAACACTTTTCATCACCATCATCCCAAAATGGCGACCTAAAAGTAAACAAAAAAGGTAAAATGATTTCAGGAATTTCCACTTTCCGATATTTATTACTATTGCGCCATCGAGCGCTATAAAACAATATTTTGCCAATCTGTTGAAAATAAGAAAAGCGATTATGATATCACACCTTATACCTACTTATTAACTTCATTGTACAAGTTCCCAAGCTGGCAGACCTTACTTATTTTCTAATAAATAATGGATAATCGAGTAGTATTAGCGTGTAGAATGCACGTATACATACTCGCTAACTTGTGCTGTAGGCCAATTCTCTGGTATCAGATGGCACAGGTACGCAAAAAATACTCACTTTTCTAACAGTCTGAGACTTGATTTTTATCTATGATATTTAGGAAGCTATTTTAATGTACATATTTTGAAAGCTGCCAGACTAATACTAGGGGTCCGAAATCAGCAAAGCCTATTTAAAGTTCCACCGCGTGTAGAGTGCTCTCCTGGGAATCGACCGCCTTTTTATAAAGGTTCATTACAAATATCGTGTAAATAGTCTAATGGGAGCCTTAAATAAATAAATAATAAAATATAAATCACACGCCCAGATTAACATTGAACTAAGCCAAAATAGCTCACTTTTCAAAATCGACGAAAAAACGTTATGTCACTTTTTGTCAAAGTTATTGCGAATATCTCGATCATTTCACGTACTGAATCGAATGCGAAATAGTGTTATAAAGTTTAGTCGATTAAAAACTCGTTAATAAAGCAAAATAATGCACCACTTTTTAACTTATTGCACTATTGTGGAATGACTAGGCGAAATAAAAAATAATTAATTCTAAATATGTGCGTGTTACTAATTGATTCTGGAAATAATGAACTATTTTTCTTATACTGTTTAATTGCAATTACTATACCTGCCACGTGAAGTTTATCTTGCCTTACTTGACTTTGATACCTGCCACGTGGAGTCTTTCTTGTCTTACTTGATTACTCGATTATCAATAATTTGTCCATCAGAAAATAAATAAGGTCTGGCGGGCTTGGGATCTTACTCTATCAGTTTTGCAGCCACATAGGCAATACAATTATTGATTCAAATTAAACGAAATGGTAAGCTGTCAATGGTCATGTTTGTTCTCATCAGGGTGTCGATTCTGCTAAGTTAAAGTAAATGGAGTTTCAGTAACTAGTATGAATTTTTGAAATTGTACTTGTGACTAAAGCACAATATAATAAATATTGTTATCCAAATGCAGTAATTATTTTCAGATTTTTTGGTAACAAGAACCATTCCAAAAGCGATACCAATGAATCAATTCAACGAGACACGATTATTACGGTAGCTTAACACATTCGACATCTACGATAAATGTGATTGATATGAAAAAAAATCAAATACTTATGTAATACGTGGTGCAAGGTACTACTGGTGGTGCAAGGGGAAAAATGAGGACAAAAGATCTCGCGGGCGCTTTCCGACTCGATGAACAGACCTTATTAAATTGGCGACGCACTGCAGGGGTCCAAGCACGAGTTTTGATAGCTCCGTAAAGTAACATATTCGCCAAAATTTCTATGGAAACCAATCTGCACTGTAAGAACAAACTAGCTTTTCCATACAAAATTTGACGATTACGTTACTTTACGGATCTACAAAACATAGAGCTGCATGGCAACGCATCGCGATTGCATCAGTGGCAGAGGAATCGATCGAGACATGACCACGACCACTCTGTCAAGAGTGCACAACTGGGAAGAAGATGTAATACGTACCAATGCAGTTTCTGGAACCGAAGCTGAAGGGTATGAATGCGCACGGGTGCCTGTCCACGCTGTTCTCGGGCAGGAACCGGTCTGGGTCGAAGCAGTTGGCAGTGGGGCCCCACAGCCTCTTAGAGCGATGCATCACGAATGGAGCCACGGCGCATCCCACGCCCGCCGGTAACGTGAAGTTTGCTGAACAAAATAATTGACGCATGTTAACTTTTTATTTTAACAGAATTTTTAGAGATTGTCTTTTCGATAATTAGAAAAGTTAAACCACTTTCAGCATTGAATAAGCCTGCTTTGACGTAAGTCACATCAACAATATACTTCTCCTATAGCTAACATGTCATGTTTATCACCACGTGGATTTGAAGCACCTTTTGATGTACCTAAGTGGTTTACAAGCAATTTATGTGATGGCTGTTAAACATAATACAATACAAGTCCTAGGTACTAAAATTGCACACGGTTTAACTTTGAAGGCCGATATTTTCAAAGAATGATCTCAAGTGTATGTAAATAAAGTTGAGAGATTTATTTAGTACGTAAGAACATGGTAACGATGTAAGCAAATACTAAACATTACTACTGAGCCGATGGCTGTTCCAATATTTGTTTACGACTCTTCATAAGTCGCTAAAAATCTTCGTTGTCGTCAGTTCCGAGTAGCTGACAGTTCCTATTTGCTAAAACAATATGCGTTCATCCATTATCAGAATCTACATTCGATTTCTGAGTACGTTGTGTCAATCATGTCATATAACTACATTGTAAATCGCTAACAAACTATCATATCTACTATCTTACTTAGTTTAATGTCCTTCTGCGTTCTTCTACCAATTATAGGAACAACTGTGTACAGGCGCATTGTTTCTTTGATCACTCGTTCCAAATAGTGCATTTTATTTATGTCTTCTTTCGTAGGTGCTCTATCAGACTCCCCGAATATAGAATTCAATCTGAAATAGGATTTTTAGACATTAGCGATGCCTATTGATAACTTGCAATACACAATCAAAAACTCATAAAAATAGTGTCCACTACAAAAATCGGAGATATATACCATCCGTTATTTTTTAAAGAACTTTTCCTGTTTAGTTTATCACATATATATTATTGAATAAAAGGTTTGGTAAAAAAATACAATATCATGTTTTTCCGCGTTTGTCCTTAATATGTTCTCAGATAAAAGTATCTATCATCTAAAATATTCATAGTACCTACTCTGTTCATAACCTTTATAAAAGTACTAAATTCGATTCGATATATACGTGGAAGAAAAAGGAATAGGTAATTATTATTCATATCAATTCATGTAAAACATGGTAGCCAAACGGTAGCAAGCACACAATCCTTTTTATGGCAAAAAAACTTTTATCATTTTATTATTTTAATCAATCAACTGTAAGATTTATAAAAAAAAATACAAAATTTTTATTTTTAACTTTTAATTTGTCCGTAACTTTTAATTTAATTGGTATTATTCTTCGTTTCCTTACTCAAAGAACAACAAACAAAGGACTATTCTGAAAACAGGATAAAAGCTTATGTGTTCAACTTTTTTTCAAGGCTTCTATGCTACTATCTATATCTATATATATACTCTGCAATCACTCCACCACACCTGAGTTCAGTTTGAAAGATAAGTTAAATAAATATTTCTAACACTCACACCAATTACCCTAGCCCCAATGTAAGCACTGATGCTCGCGTTATGATATATTTAAAAAAAAAGTTCAGAATATTGAAATGCATGTCGATTTTGGATTAATTTTCATTTTGGATATACATATATCAAAATATATCGACATGAATATTACTTTTGAATTGACATGAGGAATCGTAATTAATATTGACATTGAATTGAATAATACTCTAAAATTATCATAATAAAATAATTTAAACAGTGAATTGGCAAAAAATATTTTATTTTGAACTGACATTTGGAATTGTAATTAACATTGAAATAAATTGCAAATTATAATGATAAAAGTCAAAGTCAAACATTTATTGGATATCATAATTGTACAAAAGATTGGAAATAATTGTTATTAAATGAATGATAGGTAAAATGAGAATACTGTTATATGAATGTTGTTTTAAAATGTTATTTTTTTGCATTCTATTAATATGGCTTAATAGGTTTAAGTTTCTTAGCTTTATATACAAACCTTTTGTCAACCCTATTAAATGCAAATAAAAAGTCTTCTATTTTATGGGATTCTAGGGTAACGGATAGAATACATATCGTGGTACTTAAATAGGTAAATATATTTATTGTAATACATATAGAGATGTGAGTGAGGAACTCGATGGCGCAAGTGGTTAGCGCTTTCGGCTGCAATCGTTGAAGTTAAGCAACTTTCTCAGTGGTCGGTCATTGGATGGGTTACTAAATATTAACTATCTCGAGCTCCTCTCTGCTTCGCAAGGCACGTTAAGTCGTTGGTCCCGGCTGCATCTGCAGTTGTTAGCACCTACCAATCCGCACTGGACCTGCATGGTGGGTCATAGCCCAATCTCCCTATTCCATCCATAAGGAAAGCCTGTGCCCCAGCAGTGGTGATGTGATGTGACATTTAGACATCTAAGTCTTGGGTACAAAGGCTCGTATCCATACAAACATTTGCCCCAACGGGATTCGAGTCCGAGACGGAGAACGTCCTCAAACCTTAAAAACTTACTCGTCAACAACTATGTCTTGAGCTTCCTCGTGGCTGCCCAGCAGCAGAAGTGCGTAGGCGATCACCAATGCCGTAGTGTCGTTGCCTGCTATCGTTATAGAGTCTATGTGCTCACGGAGCTGCTCATTTGTGAACTTTATTTCCCTATGCAACAACAACTCTAGTAGGTCCTTCTTTCCTGGAACAGGTACATAGATTGGTTCAGCGTGTAAATTACGGAAAAAATGAAGCTTTTAACATTTGAGGCATTACAAAAATTTAATGCTTACCTTCTTTTTGTTGGTCCTGTGAACCGCATTGCTCTTTCTTTTTCATGACTACCTGAAATATTTAGTTTTTTATTAGTTTTATAAATCAAACATAGCATAGATATTTTTATGTTTATGCAGGTAACCGAGCTGACAGTCCACCTGATGGAAAGTGGTCACTGCCGCCCATGGACACTTGCAGCACCAAGGGTACCACTCATGAGTTGCCAGCTCTGAAAGAAAAGATTTACCCGCATTTTGAAGTCCACCATGAATAGCTGAAGAAAAAATCGATTAGAGAAGTTCGTACCAGATTTTGCTCGAAAGCAAGAAAAAAAAACGCGATTATCGCATGGTGCTAGCTAGAAAGCCAGGCGTCCAAAGAAATTTAAATACTGCTTAAACTAAATTTTGGTTGATGTTATTATTATTAAATAGGGACCATTTTAAAAAAATATGCCCATCGTAGGTAGTATTAACTGAAATTTTAATGTTTTACCTCATCAGTAAATTTGTGAGTGTAGTCGATATTTTCCTGTTGAATTTTTGCATAGGGCGTAAGCTTAAAGAGTGCGTCCGGTTGCAGCCAGGCTTTGAACAGTCGCATATTGATGATGGACATGACACAACTGCGCGCGCGCAGGTACGGCGTATCTGGGTTATGTTGGACATCCATTTTCTCACCCATGGCGGTTTCTGTAATTAATTACACTTGAAGTGACACTCAAAAAGAGTTACAGAAAGCGTTGCCAGCTGAAACTGGGATGCCAGTCTAGTGAAAGGGCGTTATACTAAAATGTTTTTCGTAAGTCCTAGAAATTTTGTCGCAGTTAGTTTCATTTCCCAAATTAATTTTAGGCAAATTTACATTTAGCATTTTATTTACTTGGTAAAAATATCCTTATGCACCATTTAACTTTGTCATGTTTTATTAAGTCAAATGTTTATTGAGCAATCGTTATTTTGGTAAATATAAGTATATTAAGAAAATGTTTGTTCAAATTATCACTTCATACTCAACTTATAACGTATGTTTGGCAAATTAATTATAATTGTTTTTACTGATTCATGAGTGTACAGGTACAAGTGTAAAACGGTTGCACTACGAGATTAATTAAATTTTCTTAATATAAGTAAACATAACTAATATATTAAACGAATTACAATCTATTAAACTGAAAGAATTTTGGTAACCGAAAAATTGCGATAACCTTTATAAATATTTTTTATGAATTAAATTAAAAGGCTTTCTTTGAAATATTGAGTGTTTTAATATGTTTTGATTAGATACTAAATTCACATGTTATCAAAAATAAGAAGTTGTAAATGTTTGTACGAATTTTAGCATATTATAAAAACCAAGTGATTTAAATAATATATATGGCAATTTGAACCCGTTTAAGCGTGTTTTATTTAATCAGTGATTTAAGTTTGTATCGAGATTATCCTTTGATATAATAACAAGGAAATGAGAGATTTAATAGGTGGTTAATGGGTATTAAATATTTAGTTTTAGTGAACTTCCACTCCGATTTGCAGGTTCGAATTTTGGCGTCAAAATGGAGGGACCACCATCAACTTTATATATCTTCTAAACGATAGAGATACCAAATATTTAAATAAAGGTATCAAATAGTACTAAATCGGCACTAAATCCGATGATATGAAATATTTAAATTAATAGAGTGGTCCCACGTTTTTACGCTAATTGTTTGTTCCTTATGCTTAAGGGATTTTTCTTACAGAATTTTCTCATGACATATATGTAAATCTAGAATTCAAAAGAACTAATAATAAAATATCTTAGCAGTAGAGTCAGCTTACCGAAAACAATGTCTAGCATGCAAGACGTGATGTATTTGAAGATGTCGAAGTCGGGCTTGCCAACTTGCTCCTCCAGTCGCTTCACAAGTATGGAGGCTTGTTGACCAAACACCGGCACGAAGTCTTCTAATATTTTGTTATGAAATATTGGTAGAAGCACTCTTCGATGAACTTTCCATAAGTCCACTGAAAGAATATTTAAATTCTTCATTGATAAAATTATCGAGACGGAAAGCAAATATATTTTTTTACCCTAAAACTGATGAGGCGTTTAATAATAGTTATTTATGCAACTGTTGTATAATGAGGTGTAATTAATGGCGAGATGGTCCCATATTAATTTGGTGAAGTTCTGATGGACTTTCGGAGGCAAAAATTGAACTCCTTAATTATACTTACAAACAGCACTCAATTCGTGTTTGGTTATTTTAATAAATATGATTGAGATAATGTAGGCCTGGTATCTACTAGTAGTCTAGCTTATGAGTTCATGTTAATGTGTAGTTCTTTAGTTTTGCTTGGAGAAGATTTTTTCCTAGTTTTTAGGGCTTCTGTATTTAGGAAGTCGGTTTTTATAGCTTCTAATGACGGCATTTACAACATTCAGGTATGTATTTTGTATTCTAGCTGACACTGATACGTTGGTTACTTGTACTTTACTATGATTTACTTTTGCGCATAGATGTGCTAATTCTTACTCACGTCGTTGGGTCAATATCGTGTGTACCTCAGATGTATATACAATAACACGAGCGTTGGTAGAAATAATAAAAAAATAGTAGGTATCTGCGGAAAACCAGCGTCGAAGCATCGTGAGGTGCTCCGAAATTATGCTGTGTAGATACCTTTTCAGTACCATGTGTATACTTATGTAATTACATTATGTATGTTGTCAAAATAGTCATGAGTACCATGACTATAATAAATAGTTTTTCTTTTTTCTTTCTAAATATAATGTTATTTCATATTTAGCTGGAATTATTGTTTAAGCTGAGATTTAACTTTATTCTTCGTAAATATAAATGCTTTATTTATTTAGATGAAATAGGTAAGAGAGAAGAAAAGAACTCGCTTTAGCTCAGTAAGTCGTAAGTCTTTTGAATAGGAGCTAAATACTGCTTAAGTTACATTATTAACATTATAATGGAAATAGTTATTTGCTCAAAAAATGCATTTACATTTACATTGTTAGAAAATTCATAATTAAGGATCATAAGGCGGAGCGTGCGGTAAAATTCAATACGCACGCTCCCATACATGGCACCGTGCGTATTCTTATGAGCCCTTTTTTTGCAAAAAAATGTAAGTAATATTTGAGCGCCTCGTTTACCCCCTTAGAATAGATTTTAACTATTTCCAATATAAGTAAACAGTAGATTTATTCTTCTTATTGTAAGTTAATGTAGAATATTTGCAAATACTATTTTCCTTTGTTTGTACTGATCGTTGTACTGCAGCTAGTTTACGGAAAAAAACGATATTATGCACAACTTGAAACGCCTCAATCTCTCAATAATGTTCAATAAATTAGATCAATTTAATTACTACGACATTAGAAAGATGTTTTTGTTGAAACATATTGTATTAGAATTTTGAATTTCCATCTCATTAATTATCAAAAAAAAACATCTAACCTCCGTGAGTTTTCCTGAAAAATAATGCAAGTTTACTTCATATTTTGATATTGAATTAAATATAATTACTTAATCACTTCATTAAAAATTATTTTATAAGACTCGAAACATCACCCGTAAAATGCAATATATACTAGTGCAAATCTACCTACGCGCCGATCACTACGGCAGCGGCGCAATTTTGTAAAAGGGCTCTTAACGGTTTTATTTAAATTTCGATCGAACCTCCTCGGAAGCGCTTTTAGTCTATACCTTTGCCCTAGAAAAAGAGACGAAAGATGTAGTATTAATTTTCACCAAATGCACGAGTTTCGCATTTACTTTTTAGAAAAAAAATGTTTCATTACTTTAATTATGTAATAATGTTTTCTTGCAAATGTGTTCAAAAACGTTGTAAGACATTCGTGCGGATTGGTATAACAAGCACGTGACTATGGTAAGCCCTAGATTTACTCGTTTGTAATAACCAACTTACTGCACTAATATCATAAATAACTATTATGATATAAGTGCGGCAAGTTGGTTTTAACATACATTCTTTGGCTGACATTCGTCTACTCGTTTGTAATAACTAACTAACCGCACTATATCATAAATAATTACACTTAAACAAATCTTGATGAATGGGCTTTCAAATGACACCAATATTTGGTTGGGGTGAATGCGTGTGTTAAGGGTTATAATAATGCTTGAAAGTTATTTTCGCGGGGGTGCAATTTTTTTGACTCCGAGTATGTTATGATATTAGTGCGGTAAGTTGGTTATTACAAATGAATAGACGAGTCGAGGGCTTACCATAGACACGTGTTTGTACAAGTCATACAAGTTTTTCAACACATTTGCTAGAAAACAATATTTAGCAACATTCGTTCGATATTCTGTTCTTGAGAATTTGTTCGTGACTTGCAAAAACGTGTTGTCAAAATCAAAAGCCATATGTTTACATAATTATTTCCGAGGATGACGGTAGCCACCCGCCTGGCTATTTTTTTGTGTTTCATGTTTGGATATAAGTATAATTAGGATTAGAATATTTGTATTTTTAAGTGAAACGTATTGTACCATAAAAAACATTACCTACTACTTATTTGTATAAATTAGTATTCAGATAAATCACAAACCTGGAGCAACAAATAAACCATCTCCTAACCACTGTTGCAGAAATTTGTAAGAACCATCTTTCTCCAAACAGTTTTCTAATATCTTCTGAACGTCGTCAGGATTTAAAGTTACTGAAACAAATATTTATCTGCACTATAATAATCTTACACGTAATATGCACGCATCTAATACAGTTAGAGATCAATGACCTTTTTCGTGCCGACAAACTTTATACTTTATATATGCATTTAATTCTTCTTTAATAGAATAGCTTGATATAAAAGATTAAAAAATATTAGTGTCTTAAGTTTTTTGACGGATTAATTTGGAATTTGGCACACATTAAGTTTATTATCTAATTCCAAATCCAAAATATTATATTGAAAAACAAAATAATTCCTAAACTTTAAAGGTTCGCGCGGAATCTACTTTGGTCATATAGGTAATCATACAGTTGGTACTAATACTGCTGTTATATATATATATTTATTTTAAAAAATTATATGTGTTCATGTCGCAACGCGAATAAAGACATGTCTGTATATGTCGTAGGGTAATTAATGTCATTAATCGAATTTTCGTTAAAATCCTAGGGATAACCACGCGACTCGCGTTTTTACAAAATCCCCATTCTTTTTTCAGTAAGATTGAGAAATTTCACCGCGATTGTCTAATTAGCGCTAGGATTTTCGCGATAATTCTATTTAGCAAATCATCCTACGACACATATTATGTAATAGTCACACTACAATGAGCCTAATTGGGTACTAAGAGCTGAGTTCGTCACTTAGTGACCAATCCTAGTGAACACACAGTAAATCTATTGCTACCATAGTATCAGAAATAGTGTATGATAATACACTAAATAGTGTATGATAATACACTATTTTCTATAGAATTAATTATTTTAGCAATAGATAACTTCGACCAATGGCGTTAAATATTCATATATTCTTTTAAATATCATTTCATTATCATAATATTATTGGTATAAAAATATGTAGATCTGCGTTCATTCCGAATATGGTCAAACAGTTTAATACATTTTAATAACCTTTTAACAAAAAACTCTTATATTTTAAAAGCTTCTTATTGTTTTTGTAATGATATCATAAAATACGTTAAAAGATTTGCAGTTTCAGAACTTAGGTTTTTAGGACTTACCAAAATACAATGAAGGACCAATCCATACTTTACTAGTACCACCGGATGAATCAACAAGCTCTGCCAACTCTTGTATATTTTTTAACAGTTCTGAAAATTTCATGTTTACAAAAATGAAATAGAATTCCATTATAGAACTATACTCAATTGTATAAAATTAAACTAACAACATTTCTCACTTTCAGGACCACCAATAAACCAATGCGTGTGACCTATCAACGGAAGCTCTCCGACACCTGGTAAGATTTCCGAAATTTGATACAAATGTTTTCGCATATGTCTGAAACGTATGTAGTATACAACGACACATACGAATATAAGGGCTAACACCAACATTGTGAATTCGCCTTTAAAGGACCACGTATCTTGGCAAAATTCACACGGTTACTGTCATGTGTTGTGATAGCAGCCAGTTATTAACTGTTAAACATGCCGCCCAAGAAACAAGTGACGTAATGTAGGGGAGAGCGGGGCTACAGGTTCTCTTGTAAGTTGTTCTTATTGTAATACCTATAAGGAAAAAAAGATAAATATAATTAGCATCACATCATAAAATTAAATCGCATCATAATAACCAAACCAAATTTAAGCACTCCAGCCGCAATTATTTCATTCTCAATACCGATACACGCGTATCACGTATCAGATGTAAGAAATTATCTTAAATTTTTAGTATCTTCTTTAAAATTTCTAATTCTTATAATAAAAATATATTATTTTGTTGGTGTTTTTTTTAAAAGAAATATATCGTGTATCCAGGTATAGGCCCTACGCTAATATCCTGTAGCTTGACATTTTCAAGAACAAGATTTTCCGAGGTTATCTTCAACTATCAACAACGCTTTGAAAATATTTTTTTCTTTGCAGCATTATTAAAATATAATATAAGTTAGATAGAAAAACCTAAGTATAGATCATCTCGACGTTTTGTGTAATAAGCTTTTGAATTAAAAAATATTGAAAAAAGGCGAGAAAATCTTAGAGTGCACTGCGGGACTATTCTGGAAAAATTCTCACGCGCGCTACATAGGATACATTTTTCCCGAAAAAAAAAAAGGTTCATGTGGGATTACTAAACAGATATGGTTATGGATGGGATGGTATATCGATGATAATGTTCTGAATCTGATAAGGTTCTGAGTAATCATATGTATGTTTGATGATTTAATAAATATTAGAGATGGGTGGCCTATAGCTTTGGCCGACTAGTGGACCTTGCTGTCTGCCGATTACTTTGTTGTTAGCACTTGTTTCTGTTTACATAAACATTGTAGGGGAAAATCGGGAGACCAGATAAGAGAATATAAATATATATATAATGACATTAAAAGGGAAAATAAACAGCTCAGTAGTTAAAGTAAATAATATATTTCAAAGAAAAACATTAAAATTCTACAAACTTTTATAAACAACATACTTATACAACTTTGTTAGTAAAAATTGCCAAAATATAAGGTTATGAATTATTTAAAAATTTACTTAAAGCATTATCAACACAATAATAAATTCCAAATTCAATAATAATGTTCGAAGAAATTCGATTAGTAGCAGTTAGTAGTTACTTATGTAACGAGGCCTGCAGCAGCTTTTCTTCTGTAGTCTGCGGGGCTATTCTGTAAAATTGTCTCGCGTGTATCCGATGTGGATCCGCGCGTTTCCCTTATAGATTCGCACGGATCCGCATCGGATCCACGTGTGAAAATTTTACAGAATAGGCCTTGTGAGCCTAATAAGTTCTATAATTGTACTTTGTGATGAGCAACTACGGAACTCTACATCTATATAAGTGAGAGAGTTTCATTAAAATATGTGAATAGTGGATTTCCATGCCAATTCGATTAAGTATGTTATACCTACCGTTAACTGTAGAGACGCATATATCTGCTTCATCACCTATCATCACCAACTGAACTCTATTAACACTAAGCAGCAGTTAAAGTGGAGTAACTGCTTCATCTTTTAGCAGTGGCGTAGCGTGTCTTGGCGGGGCCCCGTATAAAAATTTGTTTGGGGGCCCTTAGGAAGGGTAAAGATTTCACACAAAAGAAAAAAAATGTTTGCATAAAATTAAAAGAAATATTTATTCATCATAATTATGTATATGTTCTTTTTCAAAATATTTTACAAACAATTCAAATCTTTAATTTTTCTAAAGTTTCTGGCTCTATAGACAATAGTGATTAATCTGACGAGCGTTCATGTCCCATCGAAGTTCTTAGGTAATTTTTTATCAGTTTTAATTTTGAGAAACTTCGTTCAGCAGATGTAACTAGAAATAAAAAGCATGCTGTTATTACCTCCGGGAAACTGGATGCAAGACTATTGAATTTTATCAGAAATAATTCAATGAGTTCCTTAATGTGACGAATTTTTAGAATTTCAGATATTAAGCATGTTTTTAGAACCTTTAATTGGTCATAAGGATTAACTGAGATGTCTTTACTGTGATTTAACCGACAGTTTTCCGGAAGCGTTTAATATCCCTTCGCTTGAAGAAGGCAGAAGTTTCTCTGTTTGTAATATTTCGAACATAATACTTGTAGTGTTTGTTTTTAAACAGAGCGTGACACTGACACACGTAGGACAGCTGTTTTGTCTATGATAGCGAACCGCTTACGTCAGCGTAGCTGTCAAACTTCATTGATTGGGTTGGTAGCCTTGAGGGAAGAGTCGATTTTTCTATTCGACTAAAATATTCGCCTTGAGACTTATATATAAAAAAAAAAAAAAGTAATCAGGCAGTGAATCTCTGTGGGGGCGCGTGGATGAATGGATGGAGTTTGACAGTTGTTGAAGTTTTTGAATAGTTTTTCCCAGATCGATTTGAGTCCTCCTTATCGGGTGCTTTTTTTAATCGATTTTGAATTTTACTCGAAATTGAATTTCCTCGCTGATTTGGGTAGGTATTCCCTTTTCCTCAGCTTACGGCGAGCGTAGGTATATAGTTTTGAGTTTATTCTTCGGTTCGTCTCGAATGCGGCGGCTGTCTGTTTGACTGTGGCCTTTGCCTTCAGTTGGAGTGGGAAACAAATCATAGACACATGTTTGGGAGTGGACGACCCGTCTATCATCTATGAGAAATTGTCAAAACAACATTTAAAATTTCACAATCTGTTTGTGGTACAGTTAACTTTTCATCTTTTCTTCTGCCCAAAGTATATTGTAAGGCATATTATAGTCGTCGGAGTCGTGAAATAGATCCGAAAAGTTTATATCCTGAAGGATATTGGCGGAAATAGCGCGAAGTCGCTTATAATAAAAATATATTATTTTGTTGGTGTTTTTTTTAAAAGAAATATATCGTGTATCCAGGTATAGGCCCTACGCTAATATCCTGTAGCTTGACATTTTCAAGAACAAGATTTTCCGAGGTTATCTTCAACTATCAACAACGCTTTGAAAATATTTTTTTCTTTGCAGCATTATTAAAATATAATATAAGTTAGATAGAAAAACCTAAGTATAGATCATCTCGATTCTTGTCAAGTTAGTGAACATGAAATTGATTTCCTTCAACCCGGTGGGATGGGCCCCAGTCATGTAGTGATTCAAATTTTAAAGTGTAAACATTGACCGTGAATATCCCTCACTCCCTCACCCACTACAGATGTGGTAATCTATGTATTTTCCCCATATCTGATCATTTTTTTTCATTGTGAACTTCAGGCTTGTACGTTCCCCTCAAGAAATACTGGAGGACTAACAAGGAGACTCTTTTTCTGTACACGGACCAGAAGGGACGCGGGAGTTTATTTGCCAGCCGCTCTCCGGTTTTATGTAACCCGGCCGTAACAGCAGACAGATTATACACAGCTAAACCTATCATAATCAAGGTATTTCACTACTAACCCCGGGTGAGCGTGGAGAAGAACCACAAGGCGAGGTTGGACCCCGACCTACCCATTTCCATATATATACATATATCTATATAACTGGTTATCTCACTGAGAACTAGAATTAACTAAGTTTGTCACCAATATCGATCAAACGAGCCGTAGAACCTCTGAAATCCACTAAATAGCTTATTCAGTCTAGTCTATGTGGTATTTGTGGATAAAATATATTAGATATAGTTGAGAATTCATGTAAGTACATGGTAAAGTGTTATGAATGTCTGATATTCATATAATTATAACCTTTCATGACAACTTGTTGGTTTATATACACATTAACTTTGAACTACTGTATTCAGCTTAGATATTTATAATTAGTGAAACATAGTTATTATATAAATAATAAACATAGTTAGGCTTGTTGATTTATATAAGCAATAACTTAAAACTACTGAATTCCTGTGCTTTGGTATCTAAAGTGGATAAAATATACTTATAACATTATCTTAATTTTTTTGGTTTTCTTTCATTGTTCCCCCGGTGCTCTGAGTGAGCTTAGAAGAGGGCCGTGGAGGAGAATTTAACATCACATACTCAGGTCGCAAAGGCTCTCAAATATTTGTTTTGTTTTACAAATTAATATATGTAAACAGCAATAATCTATATAGACTTTGAAATAGGATTATAGGTCTGAAATTCTCTCATCTTGTGATAACTCATTTTGAAGTTTGGGAAGTTTAAAAAAGAAATGGAAAGTTTTTAATTAATTTTTGCTTACGTACATTGGGGGCCCCCGTGGCCCGGGCGCCCCATATCATTGATATGGTAGATACGGCGGTAGATACGCCCCTGCCTTTTAGTTATAAAAATATAATTAGAAAATATTAAGGAAATTTTGATTTAAATTTTTTAGACATTAAGTAGTTTTAAGCTGTTTTAGTATTAGCAGCAAATCTACAACAATAGTATAATTAACATTATTAAAGCTTGCAATCCAAACTTCGGAAGTTCGATGTAATATTAAAATGTATCCAAAATTTTGGGTGGACTTCTGAAAACTGACTAATTGTTTAGATTAGCTTGATTATGCTATTATAAAGTAATGATATGGTTTATTAATACCTAGTTGTGTCGTATATACCTACGCGTAAAAGTAGTCGTTTCATTATTTCAAAGAATGAGTAAAACTGCCTTGCCAAAACACCAACTGAAAACCAAAACTTTTTGCACTAAATTCAAGAGAAAATTAAATAAAAAGGCCATTAATTTTTTCGCCATCTTGATTTCTTAAAAGAAAACTCACAGTGCACTTAGGATGATGTAAAAATTTTGTGTATACCTCATACCATACAATTCAAATTCGGTCAAGTAATTTAGGCTAATGTGTGCGGCTGTGCGCCAAACACGTATGTATATACTATGCACAAAAACATAAACGTTGTAATGGTGCAGGTGGGCAAAAAGCCCAAAAATATTTATTGTGCAATTTGAATGGTTAACAATGCGTTAAAATTTTCGTGATTGGAGCCCAACTAAATGTTCCACATTTAAAATTTAATAAATGCTACATTAAACGTTCACTGTTTGAGTTATCTTGGTAAAATCTTCACGTTAACTATACAGATTCGAGTTAGAATATGTAATGTGATAATAAATATTTGTACACCTTTGTACTATTAAGCAAACATAACACAACTCTAAGTTTGAAATCAGACATTGTTCACTTAAACGAGTTAAACGATCGCACCTGTTTGAGTAAGTGCGTACGCGCCATTTGAATTATTACGGAGTATTAATACAAAAACTAAATAAATAGGTATTATATAAAAATATCGTGAATTTGCTGTGACTGTTGAGTGAACAGTGAGTAAAATTGTCTACAATAGTTTGATAAAGAACTCTTTTTCAGTTTTGCGTGAATTTTGTTTATTCGCTCCCTTGTACAAAGTTTTTCCTGAGATGATTGAATTTGGTACCTTTTCCCTCAGAGTAGATTGGCCCTCATGAAAGTGGGTACTTCAAATAAGTAATAAATTTATTTAAATAGATATTTATATTTTATAAGAGATTCTCAGACGTATCGGAAGCCTTACCAGACAAAGGTATTGAGTCTAAAGTATTATTATGCAGCTTGGCCATCGAAACGGCCAAGCCACATATTTTGACAAAGGTCAAGAGTTTGTGAAGTTCGGCTTTGTAGAGTTAGGGCGTATAGAGTTAGAAGCTTGACTAAAGTTGTAAGGTCGGTTTAAAAATTTGGTTTAAAACGGAGTTTTAGTGTTTTAATGGTGAGAAACAGTGTTTTTTTTATTTGAACTCAGAATGCATTACATTATCGAATTCGCCATGCAACGGAGTGCCAAACTATGTATTTTCATATTTGTTAGATTTTTGACTTATAATTATTATAAGTGAAAAGTAATGGAAATAATGCCGACTCCAGGAGAGACTCGAACATTGCTTTGCTTTAGAATTAGCGCTCAAAACGCAAAAAGTTAAAAAATAATTATTATTATTACATCATCATCATCTAGCCTATTAATGTCCCCACTGCTGGGGCACAGGCCTTCCCTATGGATGGAAGAGGGAGATTGGGCCGTGACCCACCACGCGGGCCCAGTGCCGATTGGTAGGTGCTAACGACTGCAGATGCAGCCGGGACTAATGGCTGAACGTGCCTTTCGAAGCACGGAGGAGCTCGAGATAACAAGTTTTTGGTCACCCATCCAAAATACTGTAGTAATAAAATAACTTTATTAAACACAATTCACCTACAATAAAGTACCAGTAGTTGTAAATTACTATAGGGAAAACCACTCTTTTATGAAATAGGCCCCAGTTGTCAATTTTAGGTGTTTAATAATTGATTGGTCTGGGTCATATTGGTGGGTAATATGCCGCTTAAATACGTTTTTTTTGACATCGAAAATTGTTAGCATAATTTTCAGCTAAAATAATAAAGCCTTAGCATAATTTTGGCAAAATTTTAACAGCCTTTTACCAAATTTCATTTTTTTATTTGAATGGTGAAACTTACACTTATTCATACAAATTCAAAATATTTTTTCGTATGAGGTGCGAAAAAAACAATTATTTTAAGTACCCAATAATATAACAAGTAGTAATAATCTTTTTACTTGTAAATATTTTATTTCAACAATTATTTGTTTATTTCAACAATAATTTGTACCATTCAAGTAATTAGCTTGTAAAATACTGCACGTTGCTTTATGCCTTTACAATTCTAAATACATATCTCTTTTGTCCCAGAGTCGGGTATAACACCGTTTAAAACGGTGGCTTTGAACTGGTGAACTATGAGCTTGGCTCTACATGATATCTGAAAACTTTTTAACACTGCGAGTCGTATGGTCTCGTCTTGGAAACATTTTATATGAAAACTAGCTACCCCAGCGAACTTCGTACTGTCATAAAAAAATAGGGGTTGGTGGTAGAAGGGTGAAAATTTTGGGTTGTGATGAAAAAAAATACCAAAAAAATTTAAGGGTGGACCGGACCACCCTTATGATTTGGGGGGATAAAAAATAGATGTTTTTAAATAATTTAAATTGCATCAATAAAATAAGTTTTCATACTACGATTCTTACTCGCACTGCCGCAGCATCTTTCCCCTCGCCTGGCAAGGACTTATGCTAGCCAGTACCGCCTGGCATTCTACCTACTTACTTTAAATCGCTTAAACCAACACATATATAATTTTCAACTTTACAGAATAAAGATTATTTTAATGTATATATTACACACCTTTCGGTTCACCTGGCGGGTACATTCTGCTCATCGAAAACGTCTGTATTTTTTTTTAAACTTATAACTGAATAAACTTAATTGTATAAAAATTTCAAGCTTACAGCAACCTTTTTTTTATATTTTACCGACAGTTTCAAAAATATAGGGCTTGATGACGTGCAGAGCTGAGGGGTGCCAGGCGATGCTTACCGTACTAAGCATGCTATGACTCATCACCATAACAATTTATAGCCTTACAGACATACCGTTACTCGGAGGGTTCAGTAGCTCTTGGTCTGTTAGCATATTTGGTAAACAGTGATTCGGCATTTAGTAATTTATACATACTAATTCTTATTTTGTTTATAGGTAGAAAAAATATTTGGAAAATAATTGTGGTAGTTTTGATTGATATCTCTTTATTCGAGGTTTACACTATCAATAAAAAGGGTAGATCAGAAAATCTGCGACCTGTAACTGGTGAAAGCTTTTAAAGAGAACGACAAAGATGTAAATCTTGATAAATAGATATTTTTTTTTATTTGGCTCACAAAACTGGTTACAAAAAATATCCATGTAAATATATGCATAATACCACGGAAACTTCAACTATCTGACTCATTTATTATATATCTCATTTAATATGTACATAATAATTAAATGAGATTGTTATGTTGCAGTACCTTACGCTATCGAAATTTTATTCTGCGCCCTTAGTGTAATCTAATATTATAAAGTATGCTTTGGTGATTACATAATTATTTAATTTAGCAGTCGTAGGCAGTTGCCACCAGAATGTCCAAAACAATAGACGGGTATTATTGCTTTCGTCAACCTTCGACAATTACATCATTTATTGGTGTTGTATATAGAGTAATTAAAACATTTGAAGTTAACCTCTGGCATTTGGTTTCTGTGAATTATGTAGGTAAAACAAATTATGAGACTAGGATATGACACTGCATTTGTGTAGATCACAATCTTAAAGCCGGACGTTGACATGACAATGCAGCCACTGTCAATTTACGATTGTCGTCAAATAAAAGAAAATGAATTTTGTGTTTACTCCTAAACTACTAAAAAGAACATAAGCAAAACATGACTTTTTGAATAAACACTAGTTAACTTTAAAATTTACATGCATTAGATATATACAGGTAATACTATGAAACTTCTTTTTGACTCGCTGGTTAGAAGCAAACTTAAATATTGTTCTATGATCTGGAGCTCAAATTATCAAATTCATAAAGATCGTATAGAGGCAATCCAAAGAAGATTTACGCGTCTAATTCTGCATTGTAGATATAGATCTGCTCCGTACAAGGATCGCCTATATACTTTCAATATGCTGGCTGATCGTCGTTAGAAACATGATGTAACTTTCTTGTATAAGATTTTGAATGCTATATTTTGATGATCCTATGCCCCTGAGTAAGTTTCGCTTTAGGATACCATCGCGGTTGCCACGTTATCCGGCATCACTACTGATACACAAAACGTACCGTAGCAATTTGGATCACCACTCAGTCATCCCTAGGTTAAGTAGATTAATTTGTGAGCTTGTGAAGAAGGATGAAACTATTGATCATTTGATATTGGTATAATATTATTGTTAATAAAATTGGTTTGTCAATAATGGGTCTTTCAAATAAATTTTATTCTACCATTTTGTCGGCGTGATCGATTTACATATCTCCAAAATATTACAGCTCTCTAGTGCTAATAGTCTCCAAGCAAAACCGGGGACGGACAGATGGACATGACGAAACTATAAGGGTTCCTTGTCAGGACTACGGAATCCTAAAAAAGAAAGAGTGTTGTTGTTCAGACGGCTTTCTCTTTCTTTTTCACTAACCTGTAAATAATTTGTCAAGCAAGATCTCATATCTAAAGAAAATATAAATAGAAAAAAACCCACGTGGACCAGGCAGCAGACAGGACTCGAACCCGCACCGTTCACTATCCGGGTGGATTCACTAACCAATTATGCTACCGCTGCCCTGATGGCCGCGTCGAAATTCCTCTAGCCATTCTTAAGCTGCAAGGCAGCGCCTTCTCTTCGATTCGTAGGGAACCCACAAAGTCAAATGAATACTTTTACAAGTATTAAACATTTGAAAAAAGAAATAACAATTATAGTTATAATTTTTATTGACCAATTACGCTACCGCGGCCCTGATGGCCGCGTTGAAATTCCTCCAGCCATTCTTAAGCTGCAGGTCAGCGCCATCTCTTCGCATTGTAGGTAACCCACAATGTCAAATGAATACTTTTACAAGTATTAAACAATTGAAAGAAGAAATAGCAATTATAGTTATAATTTTTATTTTGGTCAGTGCATTCGCCCGGATAGCGAAGGGTGCAGGTTCGAGTCCCGTCTGCTGCCTGGTCCGCGTGGAATTTTTTCTAGTTATATTTTCTTTACATTTAAACATCAAGCAGTTGCATGCTTAAAAAATAAAAATTATAAGATCTCAAATCGATTTATTCTAATATCCAGGGAGGATGATAATACTGGTGTTGCTGCTATGCCTGGCAGGTGCCTGTTGGCTGTACTGGGCGAAGCAAGCGCGGCGTATGGACGAAATGACGGCGTCATTGCCCTCACCTCCAGGACTGCCGATCATTGGCAATGCAACGATGTTCATAGGAGACGCTGAAAGTATGTAAGCTTTTCGTAAGCTTTTCATCATCAAACTATAAATGTGCGGAGAAAATGATAATTCTGAATTTGCTGCTATGCCTGGCGCCTGCCTGTTGGCTGTACTGGGCGAAACAAACGTGGCGTAGGATGAAATTACGGCGTCATTGCCCGCACCACCAGGAGCTCTATTTTTGATTCGCTCGCCTGACATAGTATCGTCGAATAGTATCGATTCAATTGATTTTTCTACGGTTAAGAACCGCCTGTTAATTCAAATTAATTAAAGAGAAAATCTACGTATTAGTTAATTAAAAGCAATAATTTCAGAGATGCTCAAGAACCTTGAAAAACTTGCTGATTTGGCATATCAACACAAAGGCTGTATCAAATTGTGGCTTGGTCCAAAGTTATATGTTGGTGAGTAAATAGGTATCCATAATAATACTATCTCAATCATTAAATTTTTACTCCATGATTTTACTAGATTAAGTTTGCACGACTATATTAATTTTTTATGATCAATAATTTAACAATCATCTGCAGTTAAACACAAGTACATATTTCTTATTAAAAGTTACATTCAAAATATTTTACCAGCCATCGGAACTCCAGAGGATGCACAAGTGGTCCTCGAAAATTGCCTTGATAAAGATGTAGTGTACCGATTTCTACGGCCGTGGTTGGGTCATGGCTTATTTATAGCACCAGGTTTGTATACTTTGTTATCTTAACAAACATAGAATAATGAAAATATTTTCATTTAAAAGCATTTAACATTATACCACTATAATTGGCTTTACATTATTTGATGGCTGATTTAGCGTTTTGTTTTGCAGTTGGACTTTGGAAAGCCCACAGAAAAGTCCTTTTACCGGTGTTCTACAATAAAGTCGTAGAGGAATACTTAGGGGTCATTGGGGTGCAGGCAAATGTACTGATTGAAAGACTCTCGGAGCAGACGGATCAAAAGGAATTTGATGTACTCAAGTACATAACCGCGTGTACTTTGGACATAGTGTTTGGTGAGTCCACTGTTATCTTTCATATACTTGAGTAATTTAGAAGTTGATTGAGACGAAAATTTTTACACAAGAAGTGCTTGTAAAACAAATTCTCTGTGTGTAAATACAAAAACATTAAATTATGTCAGTGATGGCATTGAAAATTATTCATATAAAGAAAAGATAATACTTTTCCAGATGGATTAGCATTATCCGTAAACCGCGCGATTGCAATGACTCTTTGTAACCTGGAGTGTGTAGGAAGCTAGCGCTGGTTTGATTTCAGCAAGATAACTGGACCCAATTGAATTTTTTCTTGTTTTTTTTTTCTTTAGATATAAAAAGGCACTTTAATGGTCAAATAAAAATATGTTCAATAAAGAGTATTGCATATCATGAGCTCCTTTGTGCTAAGGTAAGTCGGTGTCAGCACTCGCGCAATAGGCGTAGTGGGTTGGAACTCGTTTTTGCTATTACGTCTAAAGAGAAGGTGTGCTGCAGCATTGGGGACATAAACAAGCTGGTGATGATTTATATTTTTTTATGGTTTGGGTCAGAAACGGCAATGGGTGAGCGTATGGACGTCCAGCACTCTCCGGAAACGCCATACTTGCGAGCACGTCACACCGTCATGACCATCTTGAACATGCGCTTGTTCAAAGTGTGGCTGCAACCAGACTGTCTGTTTAATCTCACTCCGTACGCCAAGGAGCAGAAAGATAACATAGATTTGACTCACAGGTTCACCGATGAGGTAAGCAATTATGCAGACCACTTTCATACTTAAAGATATTATGAGAACTTTAAACTGGAGTACCTATTTGAAGAAGTAACCTCCACCTTACAGAAGACCACAGTAAAATGACATGACCATTACCTTTTAGGGGTGTTGTGTTTCTGCTGATGAGAAGAGTTCCAGGACTCTTCGGAGTAGGGGATTGGGTTCAAATCGGCAAGGTGAGGATGGCTGGAGCAGTACACTTTCTTCTGCATTATCTGTCTTCGTTGGACTCCACTTACACTTAACATCAGGTTGTTTCGCCGTTCAACAATACCTTTTGGTTGTGTTGGGTTTCTGTCGGCGAGTAAAGTTCCAGGGCTCTACGGGAGAGAGAGTGGGTCAGGGTAGGCAACGGCCCAAGTGATCTAGTATCGTAAGCGTCTATAGGCTTTGGCGGCTGCTTACCATGAGACGGGCTTGCTTACCAGCCTTTCTACATTAAAAATATGGTTTCACTTGTTGACATGGAATGATAAATTAAACGAAGAAACCTATGTTACCGATATAGCTATTCGTATTAGTAAGCGCCTATTTAGTCCCCGACCAGGCGGAAAATTTGGCGTTCTTTGGAAATAACGGCGATAGGTTTCCGACGCATTGGTCGCTTTATTTGAAAATAAATATTTCGAGATATTCATACAAATGATGATTTTGGAGAAGGGCATTCCACTTTACCGTGACGTAAAATGAAAAAGTGAAAGTTGCAAGGTATGAATTATGAATGATTGATTTATTTTATTTATTTATTTATTTACTCTTTATTGTTATTTACAACAAATGGCGGACTTAATGCCACATGGCATTCTCTACCAGTCAACCATCGGGCTAAGCAGAGACAATTATGCGGTAAAGTAAATAAAAGCAAAAGGTGAAAGGAAAAAAAAAAATGATAAAACTACATGATACTTAATATAAAATTATAATACATGACATCTATAAATATACTTACATAACTACATATATATACATACATATTTATATATACGATAAATACCTAAATATATACAATAATAAATACCTCTATACTTACTTAAGAATACTATAATAAAACAAAATAGAAATAATAATAAAATATAATAAAAATAATATTAATATTAGGCAGATTGACCAGAGTTTGATCATAATATAGAAATTGAAATTGTTATGACTTCTTAGCGAAATGCTGTCGTACGAGGACCTTGAAAGCAGGTTTACTGGGTGCTTTTCTCACACTCTTCGGAAGATCGTTCCAGAGACGAATAGCTTGGAGACAAAATGAGTTTGATACGAAGCTGAAGCAGTGGGAGGGGATGGACAAAAGAAGATTTTCAGATGAACGAAGAGGACGAGACCTCTTTCTGTGTTCTGTGGACGAGAGTGTGTGGAACTTAAAAACCGAAATTTGGACTTCAGGTAAGACGGAGCATTAGGGTCAAAAAGAATTGAGAACAGAGATGTGAGAATTCTTAAATCTCGACGGTCTGAAAGAGGCGGCCAATTGAGTTCACGGCGAAATGAAGTAATATGATCATATTTCCGTAGACTGAATATGAATCGAATACAGCTGTTAAGAGACCGCTCCAATTTACCAAGAAGATCTTTATTTAGGTCAGGATAACACACATCAGCATAATCTATGGATGGTAGGACAAGAGCCTGAATTAAAGTGATTTTTGTGTGAACAGGGAGAAAATTTTTATATCTATATAGGGCACGGAGCATATTTGTGACCCGTCGACATGTCTCGTTAATGTGAATGGACCAGCCAAAGGTACTGTCAATGTACAAACCAACTTAACACTTGGAGGAAAAAGGAATTTGCATGCCATTATAGACAATTTTACTTACAGTGCCAATATCAACCTTACATATTTGGTGAGATCCACCAATAATAATAGCCTGGCACTTAATCGGGTTGACGACAACACCAAAACGCTCAGACCACTTGCAGATCATATCAAGATCCTCATTAAGGAGAGATATAGTAGAGTCAATCTCATCAGAACTGCAACGGCGGTATAACTGCAAGTCGTCAGCGTACAAATGAAACGAACAGCGAAGAAAGGTGGATAGGAAATTGATAAAAACGGAAAAAAGAATTGGCGATAGGATACCGCCCTGAGGAACGCCAGCCGCTAAGCTGCAACAATCGGATTGCGATTTATCAACACGAACCGCTTGATGGCGGTCGTGCAGGTATGAGGAAAACCATTTTAAGGTGGATGGAGATACACTAAGGTGTGCCAGAAAGGCAGGGAGAAAGAATATCATGGTCGACAGTGTTAAAAGCATTGGTAAAATCAATCAGCACGAGCACTGTCAACTTGCCAAGCTCCATACCATCTCTGACATCCTCAGTGACTTTAAGAAGAGCAGTAAACGTACTGTGTCCTAGGCGAAAACCAGATTGGTATTGAGAGAGTAATGAGTTGTCTAGAATAAATTTAGAAAGCTGTTTTTGTGCCACTGCTTCCAGGACTTTAGAGAGGAACGGCAAAATAGAAATGGGTCTAAAGTGGCTCAATACCTTAGGGTTATTAGTTTTTGGTAGAGGAATTATAAAGGCTTTTCTCCACAAGGAAGGGAACGAACCATTCTCGAAGGAAAAATTTATGATATATGTGTTAAAATTGGGATTATGCAATCCTGAATATTTAGAAGCATAGTGCGACTCATGCCGTCGCAGCCGACAGCGTTAGAACTTAGGGAACGAAAAATTTCTTTAACATGGTCAGTTGACACTAAGGAGAAGGAAAAGGGCTCGAGATCACGAGACGGAATAGATTTTAATTCAGAAATCGTGTTGGATTTGGTGATACAGTCTAGAGGTGAAATTGAAGAGAAACGAGAGTTAAGTTCGTTAAGTGAAAAAGAGCAAGAAGAAAAACCAGCAGAGGCCTGGGACTTTCCGAGACCAACACTTTTTAATAATTTTCAGGCCCTGGCTGATGTGGAGTTAGCCAGGCTGTCGAAAAAGTAGCGACGACGCTTTGCAGATCTCACCATCCGGTTGCACTTTCTGGCAGATTTAAACCGATTCCAGTTATCTTCCGATCTTTCCTTTTTAAACTTGCGGAAGACCCGATCACGCCTAGTCATGGCCATACGAACTCCCTTGGATATCCAAGGAGCAGGGGGACGTTTCAGCTTTACACGACGCAAGGGGGCATGGATATTATAGAGCTCAAGAATCTTGTAACATTTTTTGTTATCACCGGCTATTTCAGGGCTTACATGAGACTCGAAAATTATTTAATTTATAATCAGGGCGCCGTAATACTGTGATTTGAGGGAGATAAATGAAAATGTCTAAAACCGCAGTGAACAAGATATTATATTGTCAAAAAAAAGAGATTCAGATCTTATTTCATCATGGTTAAAACTTAATACTAGTCACATTCAAGTTAATAAATACATAGCTATATTTCCTCAAAGATTTTTCTTTTGATTTAAAGATATTCATACATTCAAGATCATGTGCTAATACAGTAATACTCAATTTAAGTTTCTTATATAAACAAATTATTAAACAAGTTATAAAATATTAAGTTTTGAAAATTTACAATAAAAATTTGTTATGTTCTTATAATGGCTTTACAGTTTACCAATTCAAATCCTTTATCACGTTAAACAGAAATTGTTCTCCGGAGTATGCACTGGTTAAATATCAAGAAGTTATAAGTTTTACTTAGCTTGGCAAGATCATGGGAGCATCAGGATGACTCAAATGTCCTCAGGGATGAAGCAGGACTTGCTGTCATCACGTGAACCCGTCACTTTTTGCTCAAGAAAGCTTCACAGGCTCATATATATATATATTTCCAAGGAGATTCCAATCAGGATCAAGTAATTGTGATTATTACTGTTATTAATTAGCCAAATTAATGGACCTAGAACCAATTACACATATTTCTATAATTCAATAAAAAAAACTAACTGGACCTACAGCCTAACGAATCAAATGTATTGAACTTACCCGTTAATCCGGGGAGAAATATCAAGTATATAATGCACTGACTACCACTGCTAGTCTTAATGCTATTTTCTAAGTATGGTCTTCAAGGTTCTATCAGCCAAAAGAGACCGAATTTGGTTGTGCACTGCTATTTATAAGCTACTACAACACGTGACAGCGTCATTGCAAATTTCTCTCATATCACCATATTTGGTGTGAGGAATCAAACGGACCGGTTTTGCTGACTCCGCCTCTCAATGTTTCCAGAACATTAATGTGACGTCACATCCAATTTTGCATCTCATTAAAAAATTTTACACACTAGCTCCCTCTAACTTACATTCCAAATGCAACTACTAGGTTCACACATATATTGTACTTGTCCGTTGCTTTTCAAAGTGGACTTCGATATTGAATAATTTATATGCATGATGATAGATGGCGCTGAATAAATAATAATATTTCTACGACTTAATATTTAAGAATTATGTTGCTATGTTTTAACGTTATTAAATTTAATTGCTACACAACATCCCCCTTATCTCAAAAAATTTTTCCCAAAAAAATTTTTTTTTTTAATTAATTAACCTGCAACTGACTTACAGACAAATCAACAATACTAAGTATTAGCCAAGATAAAAAAATTTAAACTTATATACGTGAGTATCCATTTATTTACTCCACGTAATGTTCTAAACTCTAAGTCAATAGCAACAATTAAATATTTGCTGTTTAATGATTTTTCTTTTAGTTTCATGTAAATACCTTTCTTGGATCTAATATCCAGTGGTATAACATGACTTTTCTGTTCATCTTATGAACTTAAGGTAGTTAAGAAAACAACTCAAGATTAAAGAAGTTTGTATGTTTTCAAACTCAAAAGATTAAGATTATTTTCCAACAATCTTCCTATCTTTAATTATCAAGTCTAAAGTATATGTCCACTTCCTTATGCTTATGCCTTTCTTACATCAAGACCTATTTTTCTATTAAGTATTAAAATAAATTGCACGTGCTTATTTTGGAAAAAAAAAACTTT